GTGTAGAGCAGTGGTTCCCAACCCTGGTCCTGGAGGCACCCCAACACTGCACATTTTGCATGTCTCCTTTCTCTGACACACCAATTTCAGGTCTTGGAGTCTCTACTAATGAGCTGATGATCTGAATCAGGTGTATTTGATTAAGGAGACATGCAAAACATGCAGTGATGGGGTGCCTCCAGGACCAGGGTTGGGAACCACTGGTGTAGAGAGTATAAGTGGAGTCACTTCAGATTGCATCCACACTGATTCATTCTTAAATCAGCTCTATTTTATATGCTATTTGTGCAGAAGCAATGTCTTAAATACTCACGGCACCGTATCGTCATATGCATTGGCAGCAGCAAGTTTCTGTACTTGCTTGCAGCAGCAGCAATAATCTACAACTACAGCAATAACCAACAGCAGCAGCAATTCAGCAGCAGCGTAGCAGATCTATTCCGCCAAGACCAAATACATTAACATTGTCATATCCATCACCATGCTACCAATTTCAGGTCTTGGAGTCTCTACTAATGAGCTGATGATCTGAATCAGGTGTATTTGATTAAGGAGACATGCAAAACATGCAGTGATGGGGTGCCTCCAGGACCAGGGTTGGGAACCACTGGTGTAGAGAGTATAAGTTCAGATTCAGATTGCATCCACACTGATTAATTCTTAAATCAGCTTACTCAGTAGCAAATTCCTATTATTTCCATCAAACCGAATCAACATAAATGTGTAGCGTAAGTGGAGTCACTTTAGATTCACATTGATTTATTTTTAAATTTGATTACCATATAACACATTACAGTTAATTCTCTAAAACTGAATTAAAAATGAATGTGTAGCATGCACAAGTGGAGTTACCTTGTATAGTCACACTACTTTATCACTAGCTTTACTTTATAATACTTTCCTAATGATTAACTCAGTCTGATTTAAAAATGAATGCTTAGCAGATACAGATCACATTCACACTGATTCTCTCTTACATTGGCTTGCTCAATAATGTATTCCTAATGACTGAATTAAAATACTACAAATGTGTACACCACCATACCACATTCAACTGTTTGAGCTACAAGTGCAAGTTGAATCACTTCACATTACATTCAGACTGATTGACTGGTAAATCGATTTGCCCTGTAACACTCTTAATAGTTCTTTCAAACTATCAAAATTAATGTGTAGCATGTAGAACTGTAGTTACTTCACTGTAATGTGAGACTGTAATGCAGATTCATTTACCTAACAAAACATTAAATGTACCCTTTTGTAAAATTAAATAGCACATTTTCACATTTTTGTTGTGATAATTGTAAATAAATGATAATCGTCATTTTCATCAATTACTTTATATCATGTGGGTAAGTACATCACACCAAGTAATATAGCATAGACAGTTACATCACACAAAGCAGTGCTTCATAAATGTGATTGTAATACGATTCCTAATTGAGATCTAATTATCTGTCCTCAGGACGGGGAGAGTGGCGGCAAACGGTGGCTGCACATGTTCGAGCCCTATAGGCGACTGAAAGATGAAGATCCCATCATTCCTTTTGGAGAGGGGCCCATCATCTCTAAATGGGGAGCCATCTCCCGCGCTTCCCGCACTGGCTTTCACACCACTGCCCCGGTCCAGGCCACTGCATCGCAGAGGTGCTCCGGCACCACTTCAGTCAACTTCAGAGGTTAGAATTCATATTGCTTTCTATGCTTTTGATTCTGAATTTCTTTGGCTTTGAGAGTGAGTCATGTTCCATTCTCTTTACAGACTATAGCTGTCATATTGGTCACAGTGACCTCAGATGGGGCCCACGTGGTTCTGACTCTTCTAGTCACTCCAGCTTTCTAGAAAGGTACCAGTTCAAACTGAGATGTCTCATCTAGAAACTTTTTTTTTCATAATGCAAATGCTTAATATTAAACAACAGCAAAAAATGCCATAGACTTACTTTGAGCATACATCTGAGCCTAGAGACTGAAATATCATATATAAGACTTGGGGGTGGGTCCTGTTGACTTAGGCCAGTACACAACCAACTAGCAACCACTCAGAACAGCTTAGCAACCACATAGTCGTGCATGCACAAATTATTATTAATGTCATTTGTACATTAATTTTACTGGATTGTCAGGAACATTGTAGCAGTAGTCTTCACAGTGTTTCCCCATCTTCCCCCCCCCCCCATCCCGCCATAGTCGCCTGGCTGTCCTCTGTACCGTTCTAAAAATAGAGCAGCAGCCGGAACATAGCTCCTCTTGTTTGTGTTTGCAAAGCTCTTACACACTGCAGTGAGGGCTTACATTTCATAGAGTCTCCTTAACACCCACAAGTCCTTATCTACCTGCTGCAATTAATGTACAAATATCTTAAATGAGCTAATGTATATTACTATGTCTTGAAATTCATTTTGTAATCTTACATTTGTTTGTCATCTTAAATGGGCCATATTCTACGCCAGGGATGGGCAACTTCAGTCCTGGAGGGCCAGTGTCCTGCAGAGTTTAGCTCCAACCCTAAGCAAACACACCTGAACAAGCTAATCAATGTCTTCAAGATCACTAGAAAGCTACAGGCAGGTGTGTTTGATTAGGGATGGAGCTAAACTCTGCAGGACAGTGGCCCTCCAGGACCACTCTTATCTAAATAATAATTTTAATCAATGTATCTTGCACCAGTGATGCTTTTTTTTAGCCTGATGCTTGTTTATTTAAATGACCTCTGTTGTCCATACCATGGAAAACCGAATATGCTTTTGAATAAAGATGCATTATTAGGATATTTTTATATACATTTTTGTAATGTTTACACTGGGTAGTAGGAATTTTTAAAATGTTTTTGGAAGCATCATTACTCATCATATAGTCTTCAGTGTCACATGATCCTTCAGAAATCTTTCTAATATGATGATTTGTTGCTCAAGAAAGATGTTGTGTGTGTGTATTTCTGTAAACCATGATAAATTTGTTTCAGGATCCAGGATGAATCGCAAGTTCAAAAGAACAGCATTTATTTGAGATCTTGCGTAACATTATAAATGTCTTTACTTTCACTTTTGATCAATTTAATGAGTCCTTGCTCAATAAAAGTGAACATTTCTGATGTAAAAAAAATACTGATGTAAACTTTTGAACAGTGTGTGTATATACAATCTAAACATAAAGCATGTATTTAAAATGTATTTGAATTTATCTATAAAAATGAATTTTAGACAATTTAATTTTATAACTTACAGACTAACCTACAAAAAAATCCTGTTTTTCTCTGTTAAGTCCTCTAATAATTTAACATTGTTTTTTGGTGTCAATGATGATTACTCATAGGGCAGATTCTGAGTGGGAGGAGATCACCTCTCACCTGATCTCAATATTGAGTTTCTAGTCTGAGAGCACCAAACAACAGAACTGATTGATTTGTGTTCGTAGCTTTGGGTCCGTTTCAGAGCTCACTGTGTGTGTCTCTGTGTTTCAGCGATCAGCTGGCCATGTCAGGGCTGCATGTAAGGCATAATTCCTTCAGCAGCGGGTCAAAGCAGGGCACAGATCTGCTGGGGAAGGATGGGATGGAGAGTGAGCCTGACAGAGACATTGAGCTGGAGCTGTCTGCTCTGGACATGGAGGACACAGAGACACAGGACTGCAACTCTGAGGTAACTTTTAGACTCAGTCTTGAAAGCCTAGATTGCATTGGGTTGTTTGGTGTTTAATTGCTTGTATAATCTGAAGGACTCTATGGAAACGCAAAGCCGCTTCCAGAACAACCACCTCTCTACAGTCTTCTGTGATCCAGTGGCAAGTTCTCAGTTGGAAAACAACCTGCCTGACAGAATGGAAGCCCATCTTATGAAGAAGATGGCATTCAGGTAAGTAGAACTTTGTTGACACTGCACACAAATCTGATTCGGTTTTCAAACCCCTATTTTTGGGGCTGACTGTTTGTTTGTCATTTTGCGGGTGATGAAATTGGATCAGCTTGTTTGTATCCAGTGTATCTACATTGGTTGCTGTAGTAATGATGTAAGCATCAGCACAATGTCAAGATACTTTCTCGTACAACAACTGTCAGCAGCGTCAGTGTGGAAAGAGAGGAAAACATTGCCAATTTTTATCACGATATATAGCTGCAGTGCTGAATATAAGTGACATACTGTGTCTAAAATTGCTGACTCTATCACTCATTCACTACATAGCACAATACAAATTGTAAGGTTATTATAGTTTAGAAGTTTTAATTAAATTTTTACTAATATTAAAATTTTTTTTTAGTTTAGTTTAGTTTTCATGTTGTTAGTTTTATTTTATTTTAGTATTTTTAGTTTTTTATTTTAGTTTCATTTTTCTAGTTTCAGTTTATTTTGTTTTTTATTTTAGTTTTAGTTTTAGTTTCTGGTACCATTTTCATGTTTAATGCAGGATGGGTGGTTTCAAGGTTTATAATATTTAATGTAAATAAAAACTAAAATTAATTTATGGCCAATTTTATTTTATTTTAGTTAGTTTTGTGAGCATGCAAATTAAAAAAAAAAAAAAATTTTTTTTATATGATGTGACTAGCTGAGAAACATTCAAATCAAATTTAAATCAAATTTTGAACTGCATATGAATACGTTTTGGAATAAGTTTATAAGCATCAAAAAGAAGAAATTGTGCAAGCATTTGTTCAAATGAAGTCTGTATTTTTCACACAAAAATCAAAAAACCTCTCTATGAACTTTGCCTAAACATTTCCAAAATCTTGTAGAGCAATAATCTGTTTTATTCCAAAGGTTTTTTTTGTTTGTTATTTTTTATAGAATGCTGATAGATGTATAACAGATGTATTTATACATCAGATGTATAAACTTTGAGTATAAAAAAAAGAGTAATTCATTATTTGCGAAGTAGTTTTGGTCCGAAATAAATATTTCATGCTTTTGTAATGTGTAGTCTGATGTGGTGTGAACTAGTGTACAGAACACTGTATTTGCTTTATGACAGGTTTTACAATAGACATCAAGACATCAATCAAAACATAGTACAAACACTGTTCATTGTATAAATAAAAAAAAAAAAAAATTTTTTTTATATGATGTGACTAGCTGAGAAACATTCAAATCAAATTTAAATCAAATTTTGAACTGCATATGAATACGTTTTGGAATAAGTTTATAAGCATCAAAAAGAAGAAATTGTGCAAGCATTTGTTCAAATGAAGTCTGTATTTTTCACACAAAAATCAAAAAACCTCTCTATGAACTTTGCCTAAACATTTCCATAATCTTGTAGAGCAATAATCTGTTTTATTCCAAAGGTTTTTTTTGTTTGTTATTTTTTATCGAATGCTGATAGATGTATAACAGATGTATTTATACATCAGATGTATAAACTTTGAGTATAAAAAAAAGAGTAATTCATTATTTGCGAAGTAGTTTTGGTCCGAAATAAATATTTCATGCTTTTGTAATGTGTAGTCTGATGTGGTGTGAACTAGTGTACAGAACACTGTATTTGCTTTATGACAGGTTTTACAATAGACATCAAGACATCAATCAAAACATAGTACAAACACTGTTCATTGTATAAATATAGCAAAAAAATCTTGAAATGTATAATTATTACTGCATAGACCTAACAATATTCAAAGTAATTAACATAATATAGGCTGAAAAGGAAAATTGTGTAAATGCATAATCCTTACCATGGAACTAGTGTTGTCACAGTACCAAAATTTCAGTATTCGGTACCAATACCAGTGAAAATCTACATTTTCAACATTTTTATTAATAACGTTAAACAAAAATTAAATGTACAAAACCAATGCCATTCTTGGTTCCCCTGGTAAAATTCGCATTCCAGGGGCTAAATATCACGTTAATGGGGTCGTTTTTCAACCCGCGGACATGAAAAACAACCCGTGGAGCGGCAACAGTGTTAAAGCAGCCCAATTCCGCGGGAAAACCGCGGACTTGGCAACACTGGAAGAGGATAGCTTTTGGATAGCGCATCAAGAACCGGGTTGACCGGGTACTCGTTACCACCGGTACTTAAAAAAACCTGGTACCGTAACGTTTTCATTTTTTTAGTACCGACTTGGTACCGAAATACCGGGTCTTTTGACAACACTACATGGAACAAACTGTAGATATTGTATTAATATTAGCCATATTACTGTATGACAGATGAATGTGTACCAACTTAACACACACAGTCTTTGACATCAACAACTAAACATTTTGGAAGCATTTTCTCTTCCCTTTTAAAAGTCGATAAGCTTATTTATATTAATAAGAGTTGTGATATAGGATTTTTCTTATGGTGACTTTATGGCATTACAGAAAGGCCCTCTCTCCTGGAGACCTCAGTATGGGGAAGATGCTGATGAGGACATGCTCGCCCAGGCCTGGAGACCCTCCGCGGCCCAATCCAGGACCTGAGATGCTGCTAAACGGGAACTAAGGGGGGCTGAAAACACCAGTCCTCCTCATGTTCTAATTCCATGTGGTCATGCCAAGAATCCACCATCCTCCTTAGGTAGAAGGTTGAGTTGCCCTTATAGGAGTCAATCAAGGCAGCGAGACGCAGCCGAAAGCCTTCTGTATTCATGTGTTCTCTTCATAAGAGTTAGCTATGCCCTGTAATTGTAATCACTCATCATCTGTTCAGAGTCAGTTTGTTTTTCTTAATCACTGCTTGTGGATGAATGTTCACGTTGAGTCACAACTCCACCTCAGGTAGCTCTCGACGTCAGCCAATCAGAACTCTCTCCAAGCCAGGAAACCAATTACCCATGTCCCGTAACTCTGTACAGAAGTGACGGTTCTCACTAGCTTTTAGCACACTGAGGAAACCATAATCTACTGTATGATCATTATATAGCGGACTCTTCCAATATATATTAAGAATAACCAAGGTGCTTGGAATCTATAGTACATGCATTTTTATTAATATTATTGCAGTCTTAGCCACTGAAATGTTATGTGCATTAATTGTTTGTTGGGCATCATTGTTTGAAAAAAACATTCATTGATCATTGTTTAATGTATGTGTGTGCATTGTGGTATATGTCTGGTATCTCTAAGAGACATTTCACAGGCAATCAATCAATATTTTGTAGAAATATTCAAAAGAAACAGTTCACCCAGAAATGAAAAGTCTGTCATTCTGATCACAGCTTAATCACTGAAAATCCCCCCATTGGCAGTGTTGTAGTCGAGACCAGCTTGTTCGAGTCCAAGTCCAGGCCACCCGTGAATAATTACGCCGAGTCAAGACCAAGACCAGAAGAGGGTTGAGTCTGACTCAGAGTCGTAAAAGACTCCAGAAGAGGGCCGAGTCCAAGTTAAGACAGCGACCAGAAGATGGGCAAGTCTGAGTCAAGACAGAGACCAGAAGAAGGCTGAATCCTAGTCAAGACAGAGACCAGAAGAGGGTTGATTCCAAGTCAAGACTAAAATCAGAAGATAGTCACATCTGGGTCAAGACAGAGGCCAGAAGAGGGTCAAATCAGAGTCAAGACAGAGACCAGAAGAGGGCGGAGTCCGACTCAAGACAGAGACCTGAAGAGGGCGAAGTCAGACTAAAGACAGAGACCAGAAGTGGGCCGAGTCTGACTCAAGACAGAGACCAGAAGAAGGCTGAATCCTAGTCAAGACAGCGACCAGAAGAGGGCAGAGTCTGAGTCAGGACAGAAACCAGAAGAGGATTGAGTCTGGGTCAAGACAGAGACCAGAAGAGAGTCACATCTGGGTCAAAGCAAACACCACAACAGGGCAGAGTCTGAATCAATAATGAGACCAGAAGAGGGCCGAGTCCGAGTCAAGACAGAGACCAGAAGAGGGCCGAGTCCGACTAAAGACAGAGACCAGAAGAGGGCCGAGTCCGACTAAAGACAGAGACCAGAAAAGTTGGACTCGTGTACTACAACACAGAATTTTGGTCATTTTTGGGTGAGCTGTATCTTTAATAGCTACAAACAACAAATAGCACAACAGAATTTCACAGTTCAGTCTTGTTTGAGGATGTGGAATTGTTTAGTGTGTATGAAACGGCTAATACAGTGACAGTTCCTGTCTGTTGTTTACAATAGTCAAAAGGTCACTTCGGTTTTTGTTTTTTGCTGTTGTTTATTCCTGTAGTTTCAGTTTAAAGGATACAGATGATTAGACGGAGTTTTAGGGTTCTTTATTTTCCAAAATTGTTTTCCCTTATTTTATTACAAAACATTGCTAACTTCCATGAAGTTGTTGGGATATTTTGTATCAGTTTTTAATTGTTTGGTCAGCATTTTGAAAGTACAATCAACCCTACAGTATCTACAAACCATCACATGTTTTTGAGGATTATTTCCTGCTTGATTAAGAGTAAATAGAAGAAAAATAATCACAATAACTCCAAAACTGCGGATGTTTGAATGTAGTTTTGTGCACTGTAGTGTTCCTCAAAGGAGATGAAAACTGTGTAACAGCATATAGAAAGCTCTCCTATTTAAAATAGCATTTCAGTATTTCATTTATGACAGGATTGTTTTTTTGTTTAATATTTTTCTCCGGTCACTGATTTGTCTTTTGTTAAATGTGTTGCCTGGACCAGTTAAGTTTGTGTATATTTGAATGTGCATATTGTCTTAAGCCTGAACAAAATATGAATATGAATGCATTATCACTTAAGACTGTTAATCACGGTTTTACTTATGTGGTATTAGTGCTTTTCCACTGAAATGAGAAATGTGAAGTGAATATTCCTGGTCTAGGCTCAAGCGCTGTCTCATTAAATCTCATTTTGCCTCCTGCAGTCAAAGTGTTTTTCAACAGGCAATGCTACAGCTGCACCTTCCAGCGAATAATTTTTTTTGCGAAAAGCTTTTTGAACGATATACAGAAATGTGTTGATTTTTAATGGATGAGTCCTAGTGTGTTTAAGCATAACAGCTTGTTGATTTAGTGTACATGTAAAGAATTTTGCCTTTAATTTTGGTTTATATTCTATTTGTTCGATATGAGAGTTTTAAAAATGGCGCTGGGTTGGTAACAATACAAGTTTCCTTTTGAATTTTCTCGCTAGCTATCAAATGGCCTTTTTCCTTTTTTTATCACCCATTGCGATGCAGCAAAGCCTTATTAGTACATGTTCGACTCGTTTATCTGCCCAGCTCAGCCCTGTATCATGCATGCTGCCTTTGGCAAAGAGGTTCTTTGGCAAAGGAAGCATGATTGTGTAGTTGTGTCACACAACACCCCAGTGCTGTGAGTGTCCTGCACTGTATCTTGCATTTTACTCACCTCCTATAGCACTTACTTTCTGCTCTTATGGATTAATATCAGGATTATGATTGTTATTGTTTTATATCCATAGTTCTGTAGTTTTCTTTCCTTTGGAAATGTCAGTTTTGTTTGCATTTAAATTTTAAAAATTTGCTTAGCTGTAATAATGGGGCAGGACGTATTTGGTTGTGATGATGCTTGTTTTTGTCCTGTGTGCAACTGCAAAAACGAACTGATGTGTTGGATACTTTTACGTCTGTATTAGACATTTTATTTGCAAATCTATTGTTCGATTCAATTGTAAATGAATAGAAGATGGGCATCCGTCATTTTATATAACCAGAGCCATCATTAGATGGACATACTGCACATTTTTATGATATATAATCAGATATATGAGGCTATTTATGGTCACAGAGAGAAAGATTCTAAAAGTCAGGAATATCTTTTGATGAAATAATAGTAGAAATTATTTATATTGCATTTGTTTCTTTTTAAATACCACCGGGCAAAGATTTCCCTTTTGCTTGTGGCAATGCAAGCACGGTCAATTCTTACTGGTTTTTTGTTTGTTATTGCTCTTGTATCTTGGCTAAGCTTGGCTCTGATATGTAGGGCAAGCTGGTGAGATGAGTCTAAAGGTCATGACATGTAGTTGCATGCCAAGATAATAAACAGTTACATCGTTACATAAATGTTCAGACTCTTTCTTATACCCCTAGGATGCAGTTTTATGAATAAGCATGACATCTGCTGGTGTACGGTGGTATGGCATGGGACGGTGGGCTACTAGACTGTAATAGCCTCACCTGGACAAACTGAAGAACCTGTAGTCGTCATTTAAAGATTAAAGTCCAGCTCACTGAAATGTATTGTTATTATGTGTGATGTGAAAATGAGAAGGTGTCACGATGCTCTAAACTTTCAAATAGATTCTTTATAGTTTGTACACTGACAAATATTTGTGTAGAAACAATTTTCACTCTGAAATTGCTAGTACATTTCACATATAAGTACAAAGAAATGGCAATCAACATTGAATTAAACTACATTTTGAAGTAGAAAGAGTGAAACAGTATTTTTTTTTATTTAGAACTTAAAATCATTTTACAATGTAAGGCCAACGGTAATGAAAACCCCTGTTGATTATGCAAGTATAAAATAAAAGTTTCCTAAGTTGTGAAACCAAATAAAAGGCAAGAGAAACTTCTCTTAAAGAGGAAGGAAAATTGATCCAAGCCATGTTGTAACATTACAACCTGGAAGGGGTTGAAAGGGCCATATTCATATTGTAGATTTTACATATAGTTACTATTTCATCTTTCTATATCTGCCATTACCCATGTATTCTATAGTAGCCTATGTGGACATTTTCTGTATGCATGGAATTCGAAATGTGCTCGTCAGTTTAGACACCATATTGAATTTAACACGAATCAAAACGAGGCTGTGAGGGACTTGCAGTCTTTAGAATGGCACACACTTTATGAAGATCTTAGATCATTTTCACAACCCAAAACCGTTTTATGGAGTTTTTTTTCTCATGAAGGTTTTTCAGAAAGACGTTTAATGAGTTGAACAACAGTAAAAATCTATTGAACACACTCTACTTCTATCCCTCACAGCCTTATTTTTATTCCTGTCAAAATATTAAATATGGTGCTACCCTGACTATTGTCTATTGCAGTAAAGTAATGGTTCTTCTTTGGAATGTTTGGAATAGGATACTAACAGACAGTCTCCTCTTTAGTGCAGTATGTAGTATGCGACTCAACTTCCATTTACTATCAGCTCTGTTTTTAACAGCCTTTTTCTTTTTCTTTTTTTGCCTTATTACTCAATTGGACTGCCAAATGTTTAAAAATTTGATGCAAAGTAGATTCAAAATGTGAAATTGTGTTCATTGTGTGTATTTTGTAAATGATAAACAGACTACGCTCTTTTCAGGTAAACATGCAACATAGTGATTTAACATGACAACAGCGTAGCATACTACTGTTGAATTGTTTTCCCTCCACAACTTTGTCAACATGCTATATCAGTATGCAGAATCTAGTACATACTGCGCAGAAAGCAGTACGCTAGTATCCGATTCCATTCCGAAGATTTCTGAAGAGTGCGGCGGCGCATGCGCAGTGCGAGCGGGGTTTGGTTTGTGTTTACAGCTGCACTGTTTGCTGGCTAATGTTCTGCGCTGTTATGTCAAGCCTCTCTGGAATAAAAAGCTTTTGTGGAAACAGGTAGGATGAGTGGCAATGATGCACACCTCCGTGTTTTTATTTATTCTACACGTCCGTTTCGTTATTCAGTAAATTTGTCGTTTTAAGCGGAAGATATAAAACAATATATGCAGATTTGGATTTGTGGCTAGCATGCTACAGTGGGTTAGCCCGTTAAAGGCCGTGTGCTGATCTCTGCTTCACTGCATGACACAAAACCTGCAAAGATCTGCCATCTGCACAGCACACATGCCCATCTTTGTGACAGATTCGGTTTTAAACAAAGAAAAATAGAAAAAAATAAAGGACGTTGTTTGTGTGTTACTGTCTAAGCCATATATAAGATATAATTAGAGGATTTGTTCGCCTCTCATAGTAGGAATGCATCATCTGCAATAGATGCAAACATAGCTGCATTACTAAGTTTTATCGCATGTGTAATGGTTCTGAATCTTGTTGGATTTGTTTTGATGATCATGTGTTTGAATAGCTAGTGATTGTGACTCGAATCATTTAAATCCGTCAAAAACATTTTTTACTGTTCAGTGACTCTTTCTGCAATTTACATTGTTATGCCAATAGGATGCATTCAAGTGATTCCTTCGTTCATGACTGAAACAAGTGTAATAATTTTCCTTTATTATGACAACAAAGCCTGTTGTTGTTTCTCCAACTACCTGTCATGAATAAGAGTCTCAATAAGTACTTGTTCAGTGCTCTTTCAGACTCAAAATGACCTGTTTAGTGAAGGGGGAGTGTTCATTTAGTAAGTCAACCAATAAAATGCCCAGTCAATACCTGTGGTCGAATGCTATTGGCTCGTGGTATAGCCATTCTTTAAAGGTGTGGTCACATTCGGTCAAAAAAGCGGTCCATTTTCTATAGTCAATAGTGTAGCGAGGTGTGAAGCTCAGCTCACACAGAAGTCACTGTCAAACCAAGCAGCTCTCAGTTGGTCAGCGCATCTTGAACGTTAGTGAAATCTGCATGGTGAAATTTTTCACTCTCGTGCATGGGTTCCTATTGAAACAAATTGAAATGAGCAACGGTAAAAGTAACTGCACCTCAAGGCTGTAAAGTTGGTATTCACTTCAAACGGGAAAGACGAGTCAGTGCAGTGAGAACGATTCATTGATTCAAAATTTTAGCTCAGATTCACTGATTTGCTTACAAACAAAACACTAAGATCACTAATTGTAGCACAACCTTATGCCTTCACCCAGAGGCGGATATACTGTTACTTACTGCAGTGAGTTCAGCTCTCAAAAAAAAAATGCATACATGTTGCAAACATGATTTCAGATTGCATAACAGTTGCCTTAGCCACACCTTAAGATTAAAACCCAGACTGGTAACTTTTTTTTTTCCTGACAGGTGAAGTAACATATTTGTTTCAATAATTACTCAACATAGTTTCAGCCATTCATTTTAAAGTGAGCAACGCAAAAAAACGTAGCCCGAGAGCAGTTTGAATAGACCAAAGATGAAATGGTGCAGAGGTTTGTATTATATTTATTTTTATTGATAAATATTCTAAAAATGTGTTTGTTATAACTATTAATAATTCAATTTTTTTATTATTTATAATTTTCTATTTAATATATAATTATATAATGGTAAACCACAAGTCTGTGTGTGTGCATGTACACACACACACACACACACACACATCATTAAGAATTTTTTTAATATGTCAAGACATATTTGATAAAAAATAGGTAAATACAGTAATATTGTGGAATATTACTACAATTTAAAATAACTGTATTAAAAATAACTTTATTTTAATATATTATAAAATGTAATTTATTTCTGTGATGCAAAGCTGAATTTTCAGCATTATTATTCCAGTCTTCAAATTTTCCTATCAATGATGAAAACAGTTTTTGCTGCTTTAATTATTGTGAAAACCATGATACGTTACCATTTAAAAGTATGTGGGAAGTAAAAAAAAAAAAAAAA